TGCCCTCTTATCAAGTCTGACTCACAGATAGCCAGTGTCATTTCTGTCCACCTGAAGGATGTCCTCTTAGCTTCTTGTTCATTACACACAACAAATTAAGTCTCTTTCCCATTACATTTGCTAGTGCCCTTCCCATTCAGCCTCCTCCATTAGCCTATATTCATGACTAATTGTGGAGGGCGGGAGGCAGGTAGAGAAAGAGCATTTTTAGGAGGAGTGGGAGACATATATTTGCCAACAGGACCTTTGCCTTGAGTCTGGAGATTTGAGCTTTGGAAGTTTAGCTTCCTTTGAGTCTTTGCATTTTGTGGCATCACAGTAGGTGTTGGTCACCCGAATATTTCCAGATGAATTTGGATTTACTTATTTATTTTTAAAAAGAAAGTGCTATTATGGCTTGATCTGCGCTAATAGATCAAATGAACCCCCAAATTCTATAAATACTATTATCAATTGAGAAAGGTGGGTGATGAAGAACAGGAGAGCATGGTTTCCCAAGTTGCACAGTTTCACAGAGATGGAAGTGAGAGACTTATTTCTATGGCTAGTTTTAGTGAAGCAGGAAGTAAAGTTTGCTAGTTATCAGAGATTAAACTCTAAACCTTCTTCTTGCTCTTATGGGACAGAGCAGTTTAGTACCTCCACGTCAAATGCAGCTGCGTCACAGTTCTAGTGGTTACAATGACACGAGCCACAAATATTTCTGGATTGCTTATGGATATGCCATGAGACGAGAGCAATGTCGTCAGAGGTGGAGTCACAGCCAATATCAGGAGTGTCACAGACTGCTCATGCCTCGCAATGTCATCAGAGGTGGAGGCACAGCCAATATCAGGAGTGCCCTGCCTGTCACAGACTGCTCATGCCTCAAGAGCTAGGCTGCTTTACCCACTTACCTGCCCAGGTCCTGTCCACCAATCTCAATGAACTGTACACCTTCCACGAAGAGGTTACTAACGTCATGAGACGAGGTTGTGGGAAAATGCCCACCAATCTCAATGAACTGTACACCTTCCACAAAGAGGTTACTAACGGCATGAGACCAGGTTGTGGGAAAATGGATACCCTCCTTATACTGTTACCCTGTTCGGAGAGAGACTTGGCACTATCTATTGACATTTCAATAGTATATATCCTTTATGTCCTGTAATTCGTTATGCAGCAGTGGTTAAGCAGTATCTGGAATAAACAAACTGATACCTGGAAATAAGTCACTGCCATCTCTAACACCTAAACTATGGGAGTGACATTGGAATCAGCCTGTGGCAGAAACTGGAATGACTTTGAAGATAGGGTTATTGAAAGCATGAAGAATCCTGAAAAGACTTTCAGTGGCAGTATAGACTTAAAGAGGCTCACTTGAAGAAGAGTGGGAAAAAAACTACTGGAGACTGGAGGAAATAAGGTCCTTGTTATGCCAAGGCAGAAAGATTAGTAACACCCGTGGACTGCAGTCATGTGAAAGTAGATGTGCCTACCTGGTGAACTTGTGATTTGAAGAGATTTCTAGCTAGACTCAGTAGCTACGTGGGTGCCTCCTGGCTTCGTCTTCCTGTAAACATGTAAGATGAGCAAGAAAAGCTAAAGGAAAGATCTATTAGGGTGCCTCGGCAATACGTAAGAAATATCTGGAATAGATAAATTATGTTTCAATCAGACAAAAGGTCATCGAATATTTAAGAGTATTCATGACAAAGCCTTTCAATCAAACAGGAAGGAATACGTGTTGAAGAGATTCGTGGATGTGGTTTTTGTCTAATGGCATGAAACTCAGTGAGATTCACAGGAAGCCAATAAAGTTTTTGTTTGTTTGTTTGTTTGAAGTTTGCTATAGGGTGTGTGTGTTCACTAGAGAGAGAGAAAGACAGAGAGAGAGGAAATGAGAAAGAACCCCCCGGGGGACGTGGCCGTACCAAAATCCTTTCTCGTCCATTCTTGGGATTTGGGGCACATACACACATGGGTCCAGAGTGTTTCCTCAAGTCATCATGTCTGGGATTTAAACCACACGCATGGCCATTTGGGATTCAGCCACCTTAACCACTATGCCACCAGCTAGCCCCCAACAAAGTTTTAACACAATTATATTAGCAGAAACACTGCCAACTTGAACCGAAAGGGATAAAATTGGTATACACCTCCCCCCCCCCACACACATACCTCCAAAGAAGTCTTTGGATCCTCAAAATTCTATTGTACAAGTAGAAATCAGGTTGAAAAATCTACTAAGCAATTAGCATATACTACTTTTCATTAAAAAAAGGAAGGAAGATTCATAAGAACAGCCCAGAAGTTAAAGAGCCATAGAGAACGTTATTTCTAGGCTTTGAATTCTAATTAAGGAAACCCTCACAGTTGTTTGGGTGGATCTTGGAACAGCTACAGACCTATTGGCACTTCCCATTTCTCCCCTTTAGAACAGGAATGTCTGTATGACCGCT